AAAAGATATAGTGTCTAGGGTCTTAAAGGCTTAAAGATAAACAAGCAGCCATCTAGCTCAGAATCAATGGAGCATGGCTTTTGTCTTAGAGCAGACCATAATCTCAAGGAAACAAAGGGTGGTAACTAGGTTCACATCCTCAAGAAAGTAGACCCATAATACATCCCATCTTAATTCTTCCCATGAGCTCAGCAGAGAACTCCCTACAAATGTAATTCTAGCCACAGGCATAGAGACTACAACTGACAATACATCATATAAGAGATTGTGATTGAGTTATAATAATAATTCTTAAATGAGAAATAACTGGTTAATATTACTTATACAAGTAAAGCAAAGCAAAACAAATTGAGTGAAGGCAAAATAAACTTAAGACAGAAATACTTCTAAAAATAATAATTACTATATATACTCATGTATAAGCCGGGTTTTTCAGCACATTTTTAATGCAGTTTTTGTGGTAAAATTAGGTGCCTCGGCTGATATTCAGGTCAGCTTATATTCGAGTATATATGGTAACTTTATTCAAAGAGCTCCAGATAAGACCTGTGGAAATCTTGAGAATAATGTCATACTCAGAATATACCATAATTCTGATGGTTCTGAAACACTTGATAATAATAAAATTCCCCAGGGTAAATTAGGTAAATTCTCATTTAGAGCGATCGCCTTTGGTGGTGTTATATTCAAAGGAAACAAAGTGGTGACCACATTGGCAATTGAAATAATAAAATTATGACATAGTATTATGTACTTGTTGTTTAATACCAGGAAAGTATTACTGACCTAAATTTTACACGCAGAGAAAATTTGGTGTGTCTTATAACACATCCCATGTCATTAATAACATTTTAAATGGACCTTTATCACTTTTCTTTTTATAAAACAGGAACAAATCCTTTGTGGTTTTCAACGAAGTTTCAGAGTTGCCAAAAATTTATCATAGGTCACCAAGAAGTCATACTTGAGTTATTTAACCAAAGGTCTTAAAGATAAAAATGTTAGTTGTTTTTCAGAACAATGTGGCTTGGTTTTCAGTTCAGGAATTTGTTCTCAGTCCCTTGTCTTTGAAGCAGTTTGAATGAAGAATAAAATTAACTCTTCAATCCATTAATAAAAAAAATATTCTTAACCAAATTTTTGCTTTATACGGTAGTTGCATTGTAAGTCTTAAAAGTCTCATAAATTAACCCATTAAACTTTTAGCCCCATTAAATGAGACTTTTAACACTCTCAGGGTCTGTTTTTTCTTTTAATAACCCTTTCAAATGTTCTGCCCTTTGTACATATTTATATTTCTTATAGTATAGGTTCTCCATGAGTTAGTCACAACTCAGTGAACCCTATAAGTTAGCAATAAAAAATGCTGTCTATCGAGTTATCTAGTGTAGCATAGATCTCAGAGGCTGCTATAGTTTACATATGTTTAAGTCGGTAAGCAGTTTCATCTAATTTACTCAGCTGGCTAGTGATCTAACCTCTTGTTTTAGGCTTTAAATATACTAGTCTCCCTGATTAGAAAGTATCTCAAAGTGGTCGCTAATTTTTCAAACTGCCCTGGACAACGAAGAATATGAACATTGAGAAACCCAAATATTTGTCCATATAGTGAGCAGTTATCCACGGAGGTGGCTTCATCTCTGAGGCCGCAAACGCCCCATTTTCCAGATAGTTACAGGAAACCAAGCCTTTCCTTGCAAGAATCCACGTAAGTTCTATAAGTTCTACAATAGAACCTGATGGGCTGTCAGTGAAAGGGGGCAGAGCTGAGATAACAGAGGTCTTTGCCTTAAACTATTTCCACGGGTTTGCAAAAGCAGAGAGCCCGAAGAGGCTCAGTGATACTAGTCAGACAGTGCGCCTTGGAAATCCCGCACCTGACCCAAGAAACGTCAACACTAAAACCTCATACTCCATTAGGAGTGACAGAAATGAATCTTACTGCGGAGTAAGAAGAGGGTACGTTAGAGAAGATTGCTACAAAATGATAGAATCCTTTATTTAAAAAACAATAAACCAAAACTATAGAAACCTTTATTTTAAAAAAGACCTTTTATTACAAAAAATAATAAACTGTAGAGCTATTGTTTCTTGACCAATTCCCTATTTAGGTTTATACACTTCTGGATACGGTGTTGCTCTCTCTCTCCTGCTTCCTCAGACTGTTCTACTCTCCGACTCCCATCACTTCAAAATAGAAGTGATGTCATCAATGAGGGACGCAAACTCTGTTCTTTTAAACTATTCCTTGAGTAGGGGAAGCCACGAGAAGTCTGAAGGGGCAAGATCTTGGCTACAGGGTGGATGGGATAAGGTTTCCAGTGAAATTACCAGGGAACTTCCCTTGCTGGCCACAGAGCACCAGCAGATATACACTGCTGTGATGGATTACAAGACTTGGCACAACGTTCTTGGACTTTTCCTTCCCAATATAGTTTTCCATTTACCAAAAATGTCTTCTTCCTAATAAATCCCCACGATTATCCTCTGTTCTTTGAGATATCTATCAAGATTTCTCCCTTTGTAGCCCCCAAATACAGTTGCTAGAACCTTCTGAATGGGCTTCTCTGCCTTGAATTTAACTGGCCCACTAGCCCACTGAGAACCCACTTTATATATATATATATATATATACTATGTTTGAAGCACATTTTTAATGCTGTTTTTGTGGTAAAATTGGATGCCTCACCTGCTATTCGGGTGGACTTATACTCGAGTATATACGGTACTTGGTAGCCCGCCCCTGATCACAGAGGTGTGGTACTTACCCTGGCACTACTTACCCTGGGCAGCGCAAAGTAAAAAAAATAAACTGTACTCCACTCTGCAAACTAAGATGAACCCCAAACCAAGCTCACTGCCACCGAGTCAGTGCTGACTCACCATGACCCTCCTGTGGGTTTCTGAGTTTGTATCTGTTTGCAGCAGTAGGAAGCCCAGTCTTTTTCCCTCAGAGTTGCTGTTGGTTTCAAACTGGTGACCAGGGGGTTGCAACCTAACATGTAGCCACTAGCCTAGGCTTCTCACAAACAAAGATGGGGTGGAATAAATTATTTTATTAGTTACCATGTCGTAACAAGCTGCATCTACTTGTAGATGGCTATGATTATGTTGCAACATATACCAGCAATTCTAATTTAACATGAATTTTAAACAAGGCAGTAAGTAGGGCAAATTTAAATCCTTAGTCAAAATGTAGGCAGTTATTTTTGTTTTTGCTAAATTAGCTCTACTTTAAGTAACTTAGACCTCACAAACAGGAAATTTCAGGGTATTTCTGTCCTTGGAAGAAAAAAGGTAAACAATAGGGCTAATGGGTAATAAATAACCTTTTAATTTTATTTGAAATACACTAAACGTGTAAATGTGTGAGCCACTCAACAGCTGACAACACTCACAATTATAGACTCGGAAGCAAAGGGGCGATGGGGTCCAAGAGGATCCATCAGAATTACCTGGGAAAGGCTGAGAAAGACCTGAAATCGTCCTTTGCTTCCATTTCGTGTGTAGTTTTTCAGTTACTTTCTCTGGCTTGACCCTTGAGAAACACATTTCTTACTAAGCAATTCACTTTTCTCCTCGCTGATTATAACACACTGCGCATTCTCCGGGAGCCCTGTCTGCATGGCGATTTAAGCAGTAAGCAGCTAGCCTCAAGGTTGGCAGTTCAGCCCTTCCAGCTGCTCTGCAGGCGAGAGATGAGGTTGGTTGCTCCCTTAACTGTGTACAGCTTAAGAAACCCTAAGGAGCGGGTCTCGATTGTTCTCTCTGGTTGCTACATGTGTCGGAAACAATTCCAGGGCAGTGAAGAAGGTGTATTCTAAACTATTGTACTTTCTGTGATATTTCACACATTATTGCATTTAGTGAACATGTACTAACTGGAGTGCTCAATCCTATACTGGCTCACATTTAAAATGAATTATCTTCTGAATTATCTTCAACAACTCTTCCAACTCATAATGATCTGTTTTACCATAGTATAGTACATTACTTTGAAATTCCTGGGATCTGTTAAAAATAATAGGTAAAACTGACGATGGCATCTTTTTATTACTGTAAATCATCTGTAAGCTGACTGTTAGAACATAGGAAGTTAAATAAGGTGAGAAGGGGGGCAGCCCACTTTCTGTCAATGAGATAGTTTCTCTCACCAATGAAAAATACTGTAAGATAAAAATTTATAAGGTAAAACCTACTCTTCTACTTAAAGAAGTAAATACATAATTTATTTTTGGCTTTCTGTTAGTGTCATTTCAAATGTGATATAGGCAGATTTACATTATGTCTAATAAAGCTACTTCTCTGCTTTTACATTTTTTAAAAAGCAGGAAAGGAAAGAACTATGATAAAAAAAAACCAGTATTAACATGGTTGCTTATTTTCAGTTCTGCCTAGTTCCTTAACTACAGGAAAATATTCTTTTTACAAACATCTACATTTAAGAAAAAGAACCGTTTACAATATACCTGAAATTTTGCACTGGTCCGGCTTATGAGTGATGTACTGTGCATGACTGAAAGGTCAGGGAGATCTCGGACAATGGGACGTACTTCAAACAAATGACAGGATGCTTCATGCTGTGAGTAATACCATGAGGGCCAGCATTTCTAGGACTGGCATACAGTCATGTGCGGATTAATGGAAAACTCAACTCCATTTCTTCAGCTTTATAAACGTGTTCTTTGTATATTTTATCTATTTACATCTCTTCTAATCAAAAACCTTAACATTTGTTTACTCTCCATGCCACTGAAAGCTCATGTCATCTATGGGAAAAAAAGTCAATGTGTCAGGCTATTCCGTCCATGAAGCACTTTTTTATACTAGTGATAGATTATAAGCATCTCAATAATTGTTCTAAAACAAGGAAATTTTTGAATATATGATAGTACATCATTTTGTAGCTAGTCTATTCAATTAAAAAACTCTAGAAGATTATTTAATGATGTGGAAGTTGTTACTATATTAAAAATCAAGAAACAAAAATATTTTGACAGAACTAGCAAATTTTTATAGAAGTATGCATAGTTATACTACAAATACATTTTAAATGCCAACTATGGTTATAACTGAGTGATAGTATGGGACAACCACTTTCCCTCACCATCCCCCTCTGCCCCCACACATTAAACATTTCTACAGCATACCTTTACATCCTACACAATCAGAAAAGAGGGAGAGCAGCAGACATTGTATTTCATCATGAGTTACAAAAGTACCTTCCTGAAAGAGAATACCACTTCCAGCTTGGCACCAAGTCTAAGAATGCCTTTCTGAATTCTGTTTGTATTAGAGGAATGTGGTAGCACACTCATTAAAGCAGGTGACAGTGAACTCAACAGTTAGTGGTCCAACCCCACCGGCTGTTCCACCTGGTCTGAGCGTGTTTTTGTACAGATTTACAGCCTTAGAAAACATGTACTTTAGGGTTGTTATGAACCGGAATCCGCTCTGTGGCTGTGAATATGATTGTTTGAGTTTATTTACATTAGTAAGCGTATATTTGACAGTGTCCTATTTCTCTTGACAGGCATGCTAATAAGCTTTACAAATATGACCACAACTTTGTGAAAGCTATTAATTCCATTCAGAAATCCTGGACTGCAACCGCATACCTGGAATATGAGACTCTTACTCTGAGAGACATGATCAGGAGAGGTGGTGGTCACAGCAAGAGGATCCCAAGGTAATAAAGTACATTTCCTTATCACTAATACAAATACTTCTACTGAACCGCATCTTTCCTCCCAACCTCCTCTGTGTTGCCTACTGTTTTATTTGTCATCCCACGGTAAAGCTTTTACATGATCTCTTTTTAAAATCCTGTCTTCTCCTTGGTTCCATATGTACCTTATTCCTCTGTTTCTCTCCAAACCTATATACGGGTTCTTTCACTTCCATCCCCCCTTCCCATCTTCTACACCCGGGCTTGGGGCTTTACGTACTCCATCTTGTGGCTGGTGGGTCAGCTCCCTGTCTTCTATTTCTCGGATCCTCTTTGGTCTCTTTCCACCCGGTCTCAATTCTTACACATTTAATGGAGCTGCCAGTTTTCTCTCATGCCTTGCTATAATTGTGTTACTACCGCATGCCTACATGTGAACTCATCTACGTTTAATAAGAAATAAATTTACTATCTTGACCTTGATTTATTTGCTTTCAGACAAAACAACCCATAATTGCTTAGAATTTTTCTTTCATTTTACTTTTGTTTACTCCTTTGTGTCACTCCTTTGCCTTAAACACCCCCAACTTGCTGACAGCTGTCAAATTTGTCTCCTGGAAACATCACATTCTCTTCATCTTTTAACGTCCATCCAAAAATAGAAAGAAAAACAAACTTCTTACTTATCAATACCAGGGTAAGTCAAAAAGTACTGCTGCAAAATAATATTAAACACAAATATCAAGATGTGAAGCTCCTTTTTTTCTTGACATGTCCTCCGTCTAGCTTGATGCACTTCCTCCTCCAGCTGGGTCTATGCACTTCTGAAGGCGTTTTCTCCGACTCTCTTTCTCCATTGGAAAGGATTCTGTGCGTTTGATTTACACCGCGCCGTCATGCAATTAGGCATCCTTGCAGGACTCAAATCATGTTTTATTGAAATGATATTTGTGTTTTGGAAACAAAAAACAAAAACTAAAAACTATAGTTCTTTATTGTCTGAAAGAACTATAAGGTGCATGGGGTGGTTTCCCAATGAAAATCTCATAGGACAGCCTCATTACCCTTGAAGAAAACACGGGTGCATTGATATGTTGAAAAAGAAAATTCCTTGGCACAAGTTTCCTGGTCTTTTTTCATTAATTCAGCTTTCAATTTCCTTAAAATTTCTTCCTAATAAGCCTCCAAGACTATCCTATGGTTTTCAAGAAAAATTTTCAAGAATACCCCTTTGGGGTTCCAGACTACAGCCACCATAATCTTGTGTTGTTTCTGTCTTACATTGTAGCGAGTCAAGCAGACTGCCTCAGAGCCACTGTTTTGATCCAACAGTTGTTATTTTATTTATTTAGTTTTTTAAGGGACCAGTGTCTCCACAGGACAATACAAGACCATTTGTTCCTGTAAAGATGTATAGACTCAGCAACCTTATATAGGGTCATGATGAGTCAGGGTCCATTCGGAGGCAATGGGTTCTTGTTATTGATGTTTCATGAATAATGTGGGTGGTAGTTAACATCACAATATCAGAAGTTCTTTGTGTCTACTTCACTTCTGTTCAAACTATGCCACTGCCTCATCTAAACATCGGCTACGAGCCCAACATCAGTCATATCTCCATTCCTTTGTATTCTATGTATGTCATCTTCAAATTCACATCCTTCTACTCTCTTGGTTATACTTGTGAAAAGTACGTCTGACCATGTAGGGATACTGGACCATGCCATCGTTGTGGTAGTTATGAGGTGTCATCGAGTTGATGCTGCCTCATCCTACCCTCTGTGCCACAGAAGGAAGCACTGCCCGGGCCCGCACCATCCTCATGACCCCATTGCATTGCTCGAACCCATGGTTTTAGCCAGTGTCAATCCATCTCCTTAAGGATCTCTCTCTCGCTTACCCTCTGCTTTATGAAGTACAATGTCCTTTTTCAAGAACTGACCCTTCCTGATAATATGCACGAAATATGGGCGAGGCAGTCTGCCATGCTCCTTTCTAAGGGCCATGCTGGCTATGCTGCTTCCAAAACAGATTTGGTTGTCCTTTCGTCAGTTCGTGGTCTAGTCAATATTCTTCATCAGTACCGCAAGGCAAATGCATAAATTCCTCTTTGGACTGCCTTGTTGGTTGTTCATCATTTGCAAGCATACCAGAAAATTGAAAATGCCATGGTTTGGGTAAGGCACACCTTAGTCCTTGTGTTAAGGCTCGGTTGACTAGAGAAATAAAATCCAGAGATACTCATATCTGTATGGGAGGTTTAAATCAAAGAACAATTGTGCATTAAGAGAACATATCAGCCCATTCCAGATCAAGTCCATAAATATGAAATTAACACATATGTCTGTCCATAAAGTCTTTAGACTCACACAGTGATGCAATGACGCTGAATGCAGGAAGATCACAGGTCAGTGAGTGGGAAATCTTGTGAATGCAGTGATCATGGAAGCATCTCAGGTCTGGCATGGATCTCCATGTGGTTCCTTCAGCTCCATGCCTCTGGCTCCATCAGGGTAGCTCCATGTGGCTCGTCAGGACTATGAAGCAGAGGGTGTGGGTCTGGCCTCCAGTGAGCTATTTATCTCCTTAGCACCTCCAAGTGAGGTCATCAAGCTGTGACCTGATTGACAGGCTAACCGCCACCCCTTCACTCTTACTAGTCTCAAGTTGACACCAGATTATGAGATGATGTAACTATCACAGTCCTCAAAGTGAGGACTTTTTGCTTTTGAAAAATACTCTACAGAGGTATTTTGTACCAGAATTGTCCAGTGCCTTACATCATTTGATTTCTTGATTGCTGCTTCTGTGGGCATTGCTTGTGGATCCAAATCAAATGAAATCCTTGGCAGCATCAGTCTTTACTCAGTTTATCATGATGTTGTTTATTGGCTCAGTTGTGAGAGTCTTTGCTTTCTTTATATTGAGGTGTAGTCTACATTTCTCTTCATCGTTAAATATTTCATGTCCTCTGCACTTTCAGCAAGCAAGGTTATGTCATCTGTGTATCACAGATTGTAATGAGCCTTCCTTCAATTCTGACACCATGGTCATCTTCATATAGTCCAGCTTCCTGTGTAATTTTCTCAGCATACAGTATAAATAAGCATGTACAAAACCATTATCATTACATAAGAGGAAAAGACTGTTTGACAAAAAAGAAATGGATAGTGAGAGACATTCATAAAATTTATTTCAAGACACATTAAAATAGTCATGAGAAAAATGTTTTGGGGGCATGAATCCCTGCCAAGTGATTAAAATCATGCAATGAGCGGTTAGGAAATGATCCCTCAAAGAAACGACTATACACTTTATGGAGCTTGTATTTCTATCCTAGGACCAAACCGGCACCCCTGACCACTGAAATGAAGCAAAAGATTTTACATTTACCACCATCTTGGGACTGGAGAAATGTTCATGGTAACAACTTTGTTAGCCCTGTTCGAAATCAAGGTATACATTTTATTTTTTATTAATTCATTCTGAAATATTTAATGAGTATTTATTATATATCAGATGCCTGCATAGATTCTGGGGATTAAGAGATGAAATGGGCATGTTCCACATTAGTAGAAGAGTGAAAAATATAATATGACCATAAATTCTCACTTCTTCCTTCTGCATTCATACCAAACTTCATTAATAGAGCATGGGTGTGCATTAGGCTGCTAACCGCGAAGTTGGCAGTTCAAAATGACATGCCGCTCTGCGAGAGAAAGATGAGGGTTTGTGCTCCCTTAAAGAGTGACTTCTTGGGAACTCGGGGCACTTCTGCTCTGCTCTGTGCGGTCTCCATAGTCATAATTGACTCCATGGCACTGGGTTTGCATCATGCTCAGTGTTTTCTGAGAATCTTCTCAGTACATAACCCATGAAACCAGTGTCAGGAAACAGATTGGACGTAAAGACTATCCCATTAAAGAGTGACTCACGTGGAAACAAACAATTGCATCTAGCTATTAGTGCTGTAATAAATATAAGTGCTTATTCTCCTTTAAATGTGATTCTTAAAAAGATGTTAACCAGGAATAACTCTTTTGACTTAGATGATAAAATTGAGTTATTTCTGGAATCCTCCTTTGCTTCCTAATCTGTGCCTCCATTTCTGTCATTTATTCTTTAAGTACTACATAAGCCCAGAAATTAGATTTTTTCCCTCTTAAAGTACATTTTTTTATAACTGTGTTAAGAATTTTTTTTATTTAATTGATACCAGAATATAACAGAAGGGGGTTTCAAAAGTTTATGAAAGAATAGAATTAAAAGACAGTAATTGCTTTTCAGGAACTTTTTGAATCCTCCTTGTATTTGATGGTAAGTATGAGTTTAGCTTCCTAATCAAGGGGCAAATCCTAGGTTTGTCAAAACTTCTATTTTGATTGCATTTTTTGGTTTTATTTTCATATACTTGATAAGTATAGGTTGACTGGCTTAATAACTCTTCCTCTATTTGCTCTTGACAGCAAATTTTGCTGATGTCCTAAGTTTTTGCTGGCAAGGACTTCAGCATCATGTAGGCACTCTTTAGGTTTACAACTTGTAAGCTCATTTTGAAGATGATGATAGTACACGTGACTGATTTGTTACTATAAGTGTAGTAATTTCTATCTGGAAACATTCTGATTAGTGTCTCCTGAGAGGACAATACATTTACATGTGTTCTGCCCTTTCCCTAAAACTCCTTTGATGACCAGCCTCTCTCAGTGCTCAGCATAGAGTTCTTGTGGGGCATTCTGAATATTCGTTGCTTTGACGAAACACGATGTCATAAAGATTCCTATTCATCGTCTCACACAGGGAGACGCACCCTAACTTTTCCTTGGCACCAGTACTTCTAGGAATCTTTCGATTCGGAGAAGAGTAAGCCCTGAGATCCTTCTCTTTTGTGAAAGAGAATTAAATTTTAGTTCATCACTGAACACACATGCTCAGTGCCTGCCTGTAAGGATTAAGCACATTGTGCATACCACGGTTTGAGCTCGGGATTTGGCAAATGGCCAGCCCTCAACAATGTGAGCCATACTATTGTACTGTGGCATTTGTTGTTTATCAAATACCTACTGCATTGGAATTTTTAATTACAGAGAATGGAAAGGGCTTGTCCTAGAGATTGATAATTCAGTAAGACATGGAAGCAAAAAGTTCAAGTACAGTATGATAGCCCATTTGATCAGGTGTTTCTAGAACTGAGTGGGAGCATTTGAGAAAACAGAAAAGCTTAGTTGCGCGCGCCTCCCAGCGGTGTGCTTAACTAGTGATAGGAGACACTCATTTGGGAAAAGGAAATTAGAACGACTAATGCCAAATCCTTTGACAATAGTTTTCTGGTAGGCAGGGTAAACACTACTGTTGTCTCCACTGTTCTGGATTCTTGGAATGTTATATAGTTTGAAGCTTTGATGGATTGCTTGCTCTTAAATGGACCCTTCAACTTTAATATCGTCTCAGATACTTGAGAAAATAATGCAGTCAAAGTTTCCCCGCTTGACTATTTTTTTGGTGTTTGGTACCTGTGTTGGGAGGAAATCACACCATTTTCTTGTCCTGGGGAATTTTCACTAGCTTTAGGAATAATAGTGTTCTAGTAACTCAGCATTCCAAATTAGCCTTAGTTAAAGGAGTTCTCATTCTTCTTTTTAGAGAGCCAACCAAAACAAACAAACAAAAGAAAGGCTGGGATGGAAATGAAGTTTTGCTTTTATACCTGAAAACAACTTATGCAGTAGGCATATAGCTAAGTGGACTTGAAGGGTGGGAGGGAGAAGGAGCTGGGGAAGTGGATGAAGTAGACTTTTTGGGGGGGTCTCCTGGCTATACTGTCTTACTTGTTAGTACATGTTTAAGAGAGAAGGGGAGGGTCTCCTGGGGTCACCTTAATTAAGACCTGCAGAGAATATCCCTAATGTTTCAAAACAATTTCATTTAAGTCTTGATACTGTTTATATTATGAGAGCTGGCATGCAGGAGACTTGAACTGTCTATTCCACTTCCCTTGTGCTTCCACAAGTGAAAGAGTTGCCCCAAAGGTCAAGTGACGTATCCTAGCTCATATAGAATCTCCACCCCTTCTCAGTGTGTTCACCGCTGTTGGAGAGGGAAGCTCAAGAGAGTTGAGCTATACAAAAATCAAGTTGTCTTTTTGAGATTGTGGAAATGAGATTACTGCCAAACTCCAGCTGGGCCATAACTACTCATTCTTCTTTCTTGCATTCTAACCTTCTGAAGGTAAATGGCTCTTTTAGAATACAGACTCTGACCCTGTCTTTTGAAAAGAGGCATTAATTACTTTGACAACTGACAGTCTTCTGGAAAAGGTAGGGACTTGAGGAAGGTTATCCTCTTTCCTCATTCCTGTGATTTCTCTGTTAACCAAGTCCTTTCTGAACCCTTGATGTACTGAGGCTTGCTTTATCCACAGGACTTAGTGGTCAGATGATGGGAGTTTAATGGTTAATAACTGGAGAAAATTATTTACTTGAGTTCTGGAGATCAAGAGAGATGCCCAGAAGTAGAGAATTTCTAAACTCACTTTAACTGCATTATTTACCAAAGAACCGAGCTGGCATACTGGATAATGAGTCGGGCTGCTAACTGCAAGGTCAGCAGTTCAAACCCACTAGGAATCTGAGGGAGAAAAATGAGGTTTTGAAGGAGAAATCTAGAACCCCATCCTATAAAGTCCTTGTGAGTCGGAATTGACCATGAATTTGGTTTTGGAAGCCTAGGAAAATAACACTGATTTGCCTATTTACTGTCTATCAACCAGTTCTTTGACACCTCATCATTTGAAAGAGATATCTTAATGGCAGTGTTGTTTGGATGGTTTTTAAGAATAAAAAGATTCAAAGTAAGAGAAAATCTGAATGTTCTTTAAGGTAAACACAGACCTATAAACTACAAAGGGCCCTAGACATGCATTTGGAGATGCTAAGGCAGTAGTCTCTACTGTCTATTCGCTACCTGACTTCAGACAGATCACTGCTCCTTTCTGAATCTTAGCTTACTCACTGTCAAGTCAGGAGGTGGGGTAATAGTTCCAGAATGCTCCTTAGAAGCAAGGACGGTGAGACTTTGCTTCACTTACTTTGGACATGTTATCAAGAGAGACTAGACCCTGGAAAAGGATATGCTTGATAAGGTAGAGAGGCAGAAGGGAAGACGAGACCCTTGACAAGATGGATTGACACTCTGGCTGCACCAGTAGGCTCAGACTTAAGAACCATGGTGAAGATGGTGCAGGTCCAGGTAGTGTTTGTTTTATAGGGTCACTGTGAGTCGGAACAGACTAGGCAACACCTAGCCACAACAAAGCTGTTTGGTAATTCTGACATTCTAAGGAGGAGAATTCTAGAAACATCAGATATAAAAGCAGTGGTGAAGGTTTATCGTGCTGACGACCTCCGCCGGCATCGTGGACCACAAGGAAGCCAGGTGAAAACACACGGGAGGGACAATCCCAGGCTTCTTTTTCTAGGGATGTAATGCATCAAAACAAATAAAACACAGAATGGACTTCGACTTCTGGCTCCTCCCCCCACCCTACCCCCGCAAAAAAAAAAAAAAAAGGCAGTTGTGAATCAGAGCTCCAGTAGACGTTAGGCCCAAGACCTTGTGGCAGTGTTGAATAATTAAGAAGAAACTCATATTGGTACATAAGGCCTCTACCTGTCTCAGATTTTGAACAAGTTCAGGCTGGGCGGTTCTATTGAATTCACTGTATTTTCTGAAAGTAACTTATCTGCTTACTCATTACTTGACTTGTTCTACTTTTAAACATGCCGAGTTTCTTTACTGTCAGGTACCAAAATGAAGAAAACACATTTCCTGTGAAAACTCAAGGGAATTCAATTTAGTTAAAGGGAAAAAAAAGTCAAAAAGAGTTTGTTGTCGGAAGCTGAGCATGGAGTGTCTTGGCTTTCCTTTGCACCCAGGAAAGAGCACGAATCGCAAGTGGCCTGGAGAAAGGGGAAGCAGTGTCCCCCACCCCCCTGCCCCAGTGATATTTTTGAATGCATACTATCCCTTGGAATGTGCTTCGCTCTAATGAAGGAAGTTGTTAAAAAACTAAATTCAGATTAACTAAAGTGAACAGACTTCTCTTTATGTCAAATGAGTCTGGTTTGTTTTAAATTGTGTACCTATTCATTATTCTTACTTTACATGCATATGGGAGTGCTTGCCACTTAATTATTGTGATAACTAATATATTGGTAATATGAATAATGTATTATATATGTAGAACTGGATTTAACTCCAGTTCCTAGACTTTCCCTCTTGTAGAATTCATATCAGTGGCAGAGATGAAAAAGGTCATATTAAAAAAAATCACTCATTGAATGCACTCCAATTCCTAGTGATCTATTTCTAAGACAGTACCTTTTCATGGAAGCAGAAAGCTTCGGCTGTCTCTGCCACAGTGACTGGTGGTTTCAAACTACCAGTCTTGGGATTAGTATCATAGGAGTTCATTTATGCAATACTAAAGATGTGAAAATTTTCTATAATTGAAAAAAGTGAAAGTTTCGGTATTGCTATATAATCATATTTTCACATGTATATTTCTTTCTTTTACGTACACATATTTTAAAGGAACATGTAGGAAAAGAAATATGTTTCAAAATGTTTTCTTCTAATACAATACATTGTGTGTGTGTGTGTGTGTGTGTGTGAGAGAGAGAGAGAGAGAGTGTGAGTGTGTTCTTTGAAACAGCAAGAAAGAGTGAGAAAGATGAAACTTCCAATTCTTGTCAAGCGTGACACTCTCAGAGCCCACAAGGACAGTTCTGCTCCGTCCTGTTAGGTTGCCGTGAGCCAGAATGGCAGTGGGTTTGGAGTTCTGAGATACAAAATAAATGCATAGCAGATGCTTCTTAAGCAAATGTGTATTGTATTTAATGTCCAAGTGTTAGATAAAACTGTGTTCTTCCTTTGTCCTGACCACCACTCAGCTACTCCTATTCCTCTCTTGGAAACAGGAGGCATTTTAAGGAGTTTATAGCTGTAGAGTAGACATAACAACAACATCAAAAAATCTGGTTGCCATCAAGTTAACTCCAACTCATAGCAAGCCTATAGGACAGATTTAAACTTTCCCACAGTACTTCCTAAACTATAATCTTTTTTATTATTAAATACTTTTATTGGGAGCTCTTACATCTCTTATCACAATCCATACATTCATCCATTGTGTCAAGCACATTTGCACATATGCTGCCATCTTCATTTTCAAAGCACTTTCTTTCTACTTGAGCACTTGATATCAGCTCCTCGTTTTCTCTCCCTCTGCCGCCCACCCTCCCTCATGAACCCTTGATGTTATACATTATTATTTTCATATCTTACATCGTCCTATGTTGCCCTTCACCCACTTTTCCATTGTTCATCCCCCTGAAAAGGGCTTATAGGTTGATCCTTGTAATTAATTCTCCTTTTCTCCCCTCACCTTCTCCTTCCTAATCATATTGGTTTCCCTAGTCTCCTTGTTGGCTCTGAGGGGTTTATCTATCCTGGGTTCCCTGTGTTGCAGGCTCTTATCTGTAGCAGAGTGTATGTTCTGGTCCTATCCAATTTGTAAGATACAATTGAGGCCATGATAGTGGGGAGAAGGAAACATTAAAGAGCTAGAAGAAAGTGTGTGTTTCATCAGTGCTATACTGCACCCTGACTTGCTCATCTCTTCCTTGTGACCCTTCTGTGAAGGGATGTCCAATTGTCTACAGATGGGCATTGTGTCTCCACTTCATGCCACTCCCCCCCACACACACCCACACACATTCACATTGGGTGTGATTTTTATTCTGGGTCTTAGATGCCTGATCCCATTGACTCCTCGTGATCACAGAGGCCAGTGTGCTTTTTCCATGTGAGCTTTGTTGCTTCTCAGCTAAATGGCCACATGTTTATCTTCAAGCCTTTAAGACCTAAGACACTATATCTTTTGATAGCTGGGCACCATCAGCTTTCTTCACCACATTTACTTATGCAGCCATTTTGCCTTCAGCGATCATGTTGGGAAGGTGAGCATCACAGGATGCCGATTATTAGAATAAAGTGTTCTTTTGTTGAGGGAGTACTTGAGTAGAGGCCCAATGTCCATCTGCAACCTTAATTCTTAACATATAGCTATAAGTACATAGGTCTATTCCCCTCATGTTCTTTATAAATATATTTACATATAAATGCATGCCTGTAATTAGACCTCTATAAATGTCCTTTGCCTCCAGGTTCTTTCTTCTATTTCCTTTTACTTTCCTCTTGTCTCACCATTGTGTTCGGCCTTCTTTTGGGTTTAGTAATTCTTCGCTGCTACATTGCCCTTGATTGAGCCCCACTAGGCATCATATGCCCGTCTCTCCATTGACTTTAGTTCATTTGTTGTTCCCTTGTTCCTGGATTGGTTTTTCTCTCACTTCCGTTATCCCACCTCCCCTTCTCCTGTATCCCCCCCAGAACCATTGATCCCATTCTTTTCATCTCTGAATTGTTTATTCCTCCTATCTTATCTAGATAGACATGCAGATACATTAATAAATGCAAAAACCAGGCAAAGCCAAACAAAACAACAAAGAAAGTCAAAACCAACAAAACAATAACAACAAAATAACAATAACAAAAAGAAAGCCACTGACAAAAATGGAAAAGCCTATAAATAATTCATGGTCTGTTTGTTAGCCTTTATGAGTGTTTTCCAGTCAAGTCTGATGGGGTGGCACACTCTGTCTCCCCTAAGCTATAATCTTTATGGAAACAGATTGTTACATCTTTTTTCTAAGGAGCAGCCAGAGTAGCTGATGAATTTGAACAGCTGACCTTTCAGTAAGTAGTCAAGTACTTAACCACTTTAGTACCAGGCTCCTTGCAGTGGACATTAGAACCTATTCGAATTCTGCTCTCTTCACTACAACTTATTTGCCTCATGTTCTCACTTCCTTATTACCCTTCTTAAGTCCTATGTTCATTGTTAGAATCAAATCGCTTGTCTCTTTTAGGCTTTGTTGTATTCTGTCACCTTAACATTGGTAAAATGGAGCTCTGTAATACACGCTGAGCCGTTCATAGGACTAATTCTACCCACCACCCTTTGGAAAAAGCTGCTTTTAAGGTATTTCAAAGCTCAACCTAATTGTATCTCCTCTCCCCAGTTTTTCCTCAGTCTGATGCCTCAGCCAGCTACATAAATCATTTCTTCATTTTTCAGAATACTTTTAAATAACTCTCAGAAATGAATAGGGTTATTTTTTTTTAATTCTTAAACAGTCACAAGGAAAGTCCCTGTAAATGTTTGCCTGTGAGCACAGTAGTGTTTGTGGACCAGATCTGCTGTGCTGATTCTTATGAACAACACTAACACTGGTCAATAGGAATATATTGTGTACCTCAACCATTCATGTTTATCTATGAGTCCTTGTGCATGCATCAAAGGTCTCTTCTTTTTTATCACCAGCATCTTGTGGGAGCTGCTACTCATTTGCTTCTATGGGAATGCTGGAGGCACGAATCCGCATACAAACTAACAATTCTCAAACTCCCGTCTTCAGTCCTCAGGAAGTTGTGTCTTGCAGCCAGTATGCTCAAGGTAAATGTATTTTACAAGCACAATTGCCTGTCTTTTTTCTGGTGTGTAGTTGGGAAAGACAAAGGACAATATATTGGAAAGAAGAGAGTGCCTGTAGTCAGACAAGCTGGGTGCATGGTTGGGCCATCACTTACCAGTGCATGCTTCTCATGGGATTTATTGTACCCTCCCAGCTAAGTAGCAGGAGGCATGCGAGACTCTTCCTTAAAATAGTTCTGACTAACCAATGCCGAGCTATCTAAATTGTGCCCCCATCAGGGCTTCTCTGAATCTTAGCTGCCTCTTACAGTCATCACTTAGCCAGACTCAAAACCCTAAGAAGTAGAAGAGGTACCATTACTGTTAACAGGCCCAGAACAAATGTAAAGAGAGGTTCTGTGGCTCTTTGAAGGGCACACAGCTCGCCTTTAGAATTGCAGCTGTAAGATCTTACTTCATGAGCACATGCCTATTAAAACCATACTAACACTGATTTATCTCTGGGAGAATGCTTCAATTCTACACTTATTCTTCCAGAGCAGGTTGTAGGTAATGTATACAGAAGACCCTGCTAGAATTACTCCAATTTTAGGGTTTTTAGTACCAACCCCAGATATGACCATGGTAAAGCTGTCTAACCCACCACTGAAACAGCCTTTAACGATGTGGTGAGTGGTTATTGTGGTCAGTGGGCAGTGATCTTCTCCTTCTTTCTGGAGTACTTGTTAAAAGTCAGTAATTGTGATTGCTAGACCCAAGAAGCTGTAATGTGTGTACTAGTCCCTTCCCTCTTGAAGCTTACAGTGAGATAAATTGATATAAATAGACCATTACATAAGCACTAATCAAAGTATACTGGTGAGGAAAAAAGCACAGGCTATGGATTGGTGTAATAGGTCCAGGACAGAAGGAAGGTGACAAGGGCCTAATTTTGAATTTTCTGCAGCGGGTAATCACGGAGAACTTTTTTGAGAAAGTTCTTAGTTATAGTACCTGGCTAGAGAATAACAGTTGCTAACATTATTGAATACATATTCCTTGTCTTTACATAGTGTAAATGATTAAGTAGTGTAAATAAATAAATTAAATAATCTACATAGTGTAAATACTACTATACTGTGTCTCTTTCCATTTATATAAGGTACAAAGAAGTGAAGTTCAAACAACTCTAGATTTGAACCCATGTAGCTGGACTTCAGAACCTGCCTGCTTAACCACTATGCTATAGCTCCTTCCCACTTTAGGTTCTAGATAACTCTCAGTTAAATGGATAATTGTGATAGGATGGCTAGCTAGATGGCTTAATGGATGGATGAAAGGAGTGACGTTAAGGCTAATTCAACTTTCACATCTAGCTGAATTAACTAAAATAGAGAAGTGCAGGAAACGGACCATTTCTAATAACTGTGCATGCTGTTCATCCTCAGGCTGTGAAGGTGGCTTTCCCTATCTCATCGCAGGAAAGTATGCCCAAGATTTTGGGGTAGTGGAAGAAGGCTGCTTCCCCTACAGAGCCACAGATTCGCCGTGCAAGGTGAAGGCCGACTGCTTTCGCTACTACTCCTCTGATTATTACTATGTCGGAGGTTTCTACGGGGGCTGTAACGAAGCTTTAATGAAACATGAGCTTGTCAGTCATGGGCCCATGGCCGTTTCTTTTGAAGTCTATGATGACTTTCTACACTACCGAAAGGGGATCTATCAGCACACTGGTCTGAGAGATCCTTTCAACCCTTTTGAGCTGACTAATCACGCAGTTCTGCTTATTGGCTATGGCACTGACCTAGCTTCTGGGATGGATTACTGGCTTGTTAAAAACAGTTGGGGCAACAGCTGGGGGGAGGATGGCTACTTCAGGATCCGCAGAGGAACAGATGAGTGTGGAATTGAAAGCATAGCAGTGGCAGCCATGCCAATTCCTAAACTCTAGAGGGTATCTGAGGATTTCATAACCACAGCTCTCAGCCCTAAAGAGTCTTGATTTACTAATAGACTTGAGACTTTTATAGAGGTATTTTTCAGAAGATTACAAATAAAATTCCTATGAAGATTTTTGTCTTTGAAATCCAAACCGATCTCAGTAATAATACGCCTTCCTATTAACCACTGGCCTATTATCTTCCAAGAACTTAAACAACATTTTGCCAGGTGACAGTGGGTTCTGAAGAAATGGATGTTGCTAATCATTTGTAATTCTACCAGATGCTCTATTTTAAAAAGTGAAATTTGTAGCTTGTTTTTACACTGTATACATCACAAGGAAATAATGGCGATGCTTATGAATTAAAAAGAAATTTTAAAAATGTTCAGGTTGTGTATTCTTTCTAAGTTATTTGCACACTTAAGAGCAAGTTTACCAAGGAGTCTTTCCGATAGGCTCCCACTAAGTCACCTAGTTTCAGTTTAAAATAACATGATGGGCCTTTACGGCAGGTGGCATCCCCTGATAGTTATCCCTAGTTGATGAGCCAGACACCAAACAGGGAGGAAGTAGGAGTTTTGATAAAATTGGATATTGGTTTAACTAATTCATATGAGGAACCTCACATATATTTTGCATTTAAAAGTCTTCGCTGTCTTTTACTGAGTGAGCAATAGCAGCTTAGTTAGTGGAGTTTTCTTAACCTTCTAGACATAACAAGACCATGTATCTTCAAGGAATATTTCACAGTGATATGAAACCTCTAGAAGTCCTGGTGGCTCAAGAATTAATCACCCAACTCGTAATCAAAAAGTGTGATTGGAAGGCACCCAGTGTCTTCACAGAAGGAGAGCCTGCCAGTCAGCTCTCATAGCGACGATACTCAGCAAACCTTGGGTGGTAGTTGGACTCACACGCGGTTGGTTACCTGAGTGGAAATTGAAGGGAAGGCACCTAATAACGACAACAACAGCATGAAACTGCTATGCATAGTAAACAGATAGCACCTTTTACAAACTGTGTGGAAAGCAGGTGAGTGAGGCAGTCTGGGCTCCAAAAAGACAATGTCAGAACCACAAGTCTTTTGGAAATTTGGAACTGGGACATTAAGACCATAGAAGTTTTCTGACCTAATTTTGCACAGATGGAGATGGAGGCATTGAGAGGGGAAGTGACTCATCCAAGGTCACACCACTGCCAATTGAGAGGGCCATGGTTCAGCTTCTAAATGCCACAGTCCTCGGACATGCTAGCACACTGACTCGGACCCCTCTACCACAGTATTCATAACCACTAGAGTAACAAGCTGCATACTGGGAATATCACCTTGGCATTGCCATTGTCAGGGTTTTGTCTTGAACCTCATGTACCCATTACTATGCAATCCACACGCATGGTGCTTTCCATGTCTTTGGACTGAAGTGGCACTCCAGGAGCACGCGTCATGTTGAAGTGTGGGTTCCTGGGCCTCCGGGCACATTGTCACATGCCTTGGCTCTTTCATCCCGCGGGCATAGGAAGTAAACACTCATAGCGGCAGGCAGAGCTAGAGTCCTTATCATTTGGAAGGCCTCCAAAAAGCTTTACTTCCCTTGTTGTTGGTTAAAATGAATTTTTATTCCTATGTATGCCTTAGCCTTGCTGCTAGGTCAACACTAGAAGCCAAGTATGAATTGATTTTCTTTTGACTAAACATTTATCAAGATAGTCCGTGATTGTCAGTTTATCACGACAAGATTTTATTTAACTTGCAACTTCTGAGTCTACCCCTGGTTCTCCTGTTGGAAGGTAGTCGGCTTGCACACATGCGAACAACTCTCAGAGATGCACCCTGCCTGTACGACTCTTGCATAACTGCATAGAAGGTGCTGCCTGAGCACTTCAGGAAAATCATTGCCAACATCATCCATCAAATACTTTGGGAAATATTGATCGACTAAATACAGTATAAGTCTTGCTGACTGGGAAAGCAAAAAGGCCACAAATATAGTTAGTTGAGGCCCAAACTCCAAGCTCACTGCCATCTACTCAATTATGACTCAAAGCAATCTTATGAAACTTATAGGACAGAATGGGACAGTCCCTTTGACTTTCCAAGATGGAGTTGGAGTTGACTTGATGCAGTGAGTTTGTTTTTCTTTGCTTGATAAGAAGGAACAATGACCTGTTTTAGCCATGGTGGCAGTGTTCCTCAAATATGATGGCGAGGCCACCCGGGAGCCACCAGGAGGAGCCCCTCTGCGTCCCAGAGAGACCCAAAGGCAAAGACCTTCGGTCCTTGAACCCAGACACTTGACCTGAAAGTTAAATACACCAATTTGTTTGTTTTTCTTTTCTTTGAAGAAAGTAAGAGTTTAGCAAAACAGACTTAGCCTTTTCTGACTCTACCTCCCCACCCCCAATGGGTGGCTACTCTGGAATATTTTGTTTACCTCTTCTTGTGGGAACCAATTACAAGTCTTGCCCCAGACCACCCAGCCAAGCCCCTCCCCATGTTGGCCCCTGGAACCACTTTGTGGAGGACTGACTGTGTCAAAGCCTGGCATAGCTGACCTCACAGCTCAAGCACTGAAACTTACCATCTTACGAGGTCCTCAGCTTCCCTTCCCCTCTGTCTCCTCCCCCACCACTTTCACCTTCCCCCCAACACCTTGCAGAGGGATCCCTGTTCCTTCTGAGTCAGGAAGTGACAGCCCGCACTCAAAGCAGGAGCATTATTTTTGCTCCTCAGCTTTTTCACATTCTGCTTTTATTTTATTGTAAATTGATGCTCAGTTAATCAAACTTTGTATTTAGAGGTTCGGAAAAGATTGTGTAACTGTGTGACAATAAAGGCCTGATTTTTAGTGAACAGGGTACTGGTTTTGCCAATGCATCTGCTCACATAGCCATCTTTGTAAGCCAGTTTGGGGGCAAAAACCAGCATGCTTCCATTGCCCCATGCACCTCACTCACCTGACCTCTCTCTATGAAACTTCTTTTTGCTGTAATTAAGAGGGACATGAAAGGACAGCAATTTGAGGACATAGAAGAGGTGAAGAAAAAAAATGAGGGAGGTGCTGTCAGCCATCCAAATAGATGTGCTTGAAACATATGTCCAAGAATGGAATCACAGATCTGACAAATGTATGAAGTGTAATGGAGTGTATCTTGAACATGATAAGATTGTTTTGTAAAAACATAATTAAATACATAGCTTTGAAAAAAATTAGTTTTTTGGGGGGTATCTCCTCACATGTCCTCTTTTGGTAACTATTTCCTCTACTCCTTACATTACAACCCCTTGCAGCTGTGTACCTCACTGTCAGACACAGGTAGACCACACCAAACCCAGCCAGAATCCTTTCTTTAGGTTTACCAGTATCTCCTGCCTCTACCATTGACTGGATGCCCTGACTGCTACAGAGCACACGCCTGCTCCTGGCAAGAACAGGGCAATTCCAACCAACATTGTCAGGCGTCCCACTTTGCTGGCCCCTGAGAGCTCTCTGTGGACAGAAGATTGTAATGCTGCAACCCTTTAAGACAGTTCCTCATGTTGTATGACCCGCAACTGTAAAATTATTTTCATCACTAAGTCATAACCAATTTTTCTACTGTTAGAAATCATAATGTAAATATCTGATATGCAGAATATATTTACATTGTTACAAATTGAACATAATTAAAACATAATTAATGATTAATCACAAAACAATATATAATTATATATTGTGAAATATTTCTTTCTAATTACAAATAAATGAAATTTTGTCTTGAAGCATGGTGTAACGTGGGTAATGGCCTTCATGCCCTGGTATTCATATGTGAGCATATTTGCATGTGGGCGGACCCGCCTGGAGACGGATAGAGGAGCGGTGTCTCGGTTCCTAAGACCATTGGAAATATGTGTTTTCCGATGGTCTTAGGCAACCCCTATGAAAGGGTTGTTTGACTCCCAAGGGGTCATGACCAACAGGTTGAGAACTGCTGCTCTAGGTAAAAGCTGCCACAGGCTCCCTCATAGGACAAACAAACCCAGGCACCTGAGGACACAGACTCACCCACATTCACACTCTTAAAGTAACAGAACTCCTTAAACACACCCAACACATCTGGGAGATGGTCCCCACCAAATCCCCAGGTCTACTTTTTGCTTCTAGAATATTGAAATCTACTTTTATTTTATTGTAAACTAACATGAATCCATTTTGATTCTCGAGGATTCTCTTCACTATAAAATATAAATAATACGAGTACTTTCTGCTAAATTCAAGAAAATTTATGTATTTATGAAATAAATAAATAAATTACTTACCTAAATTATCTGAATAGCTGATTTGTTGACATCACTTGCTTAACTAGCACTAGCACGCAATATGATGTGTATCGTCTGAGAGACAGTTACAAAATGTTTCCATCGTTGCCAATGCCAAAAAATGCCATTATTCATTAAGTCCAAACAATGGTGGTCAAATTCTAACAACTGATCAACAATGCGAACTTTGATAAGCCGTTCTCAATAATCAGTTCTCAACAATTATTTGTTATTATTAAAGTTTAACATTATAAAATTAACAAAACTAATATAAAATTAATATCCTGGCGAAATAGCCACATGGCAGCCAAAAACCTATATTCCCTTCCATTCTCCCGCCATTCCCTAGCTTGTCATGCATTCTTTCCCAAAATCGGGACTTTTTAAAAACAATGCGGGATGTGGGACAAATTGTTAAAAATCAGGACGTCTGGTCACCTTAAGTCTTAGTCCTACACTGCTGGTAATTGTGTGCACTTCCCAAGTAGACAGTCAAACTACACCCACCCCAACCATATTCTTTACTTTTGAGTAGGAAATCATCAGGGTCTACTGCCCATCCACCACCCACACTGATCAGCAACCCTAGCTGCTTCAGATCAAAGACCTCTTCTAGCAGGAACAATGCCATCCTAAAACCCATCCAAACCCACAGAGCCAACCCTTCACCTCAACTCCCTCTGGGGGCACTTTTGGTAGGGCAGACTACTTGAGAAGACTAACACAGATTCCCTCATAGCCCAAGCAAAGCCTTTTGCAACTAAGCCAACTTCTAGGTGCCCTCTACCCGCCTCCCTTTGTAACACTCACACCCCATCTCTGAGTGACTTTACCTTCCAATGGGCAAACACATTGCTTTCCAGACAAACACAGGAAAACTCAGACCCATAAGGGCACAGACCAGCTACATGCATGCTCCCATAGCAACAGAACTCCTTGACCACATCCAACCCCCTAATTATATATATTAGGATATGGATAGATATATCCATATCCATATCCTCCTGGGCAGATTATTTGCTTCTACTCTTCTCCTGCCCCAACCATCACTGATTTACACTTTCAATCTCCCACTTCTAGCAAAATATG